GTTACCTAATTAAAAATGTCAAGTGAGTATACGGGAGAAAGTAACCATTTTATTTTAGAAATTTGAATCTACTTTTTTCCTCAGGAATGTGATTCCAGCATTTTAATTCAAACTTTTCTTTCAAAAGGGCTCTGCAGATAGGCTGTTACTCTTCACTAATCTTAGGTAAAGTGGGAGAGCATTAACTTCTCCCAGCCACTTAGACACTTCTCAGCCTCTGGAACATCCTGAACAACAATAATTTCCCGTAAAATTTTCTAGTTGATGATCTGCTTAATAGTAATGGACACAGCATCAAATGTTGTCGGGAAAAGCTTCCTCGCTCTCTGACAAGATTTTAATGACCTCCAGTCAGAGCACAATTTTCAGCTGGGGTTGTGTAACCCTAGGCAGGAAATCTTGTTTTCAGTCCATTAAAAGGGAGGATGATGAATATAGCATTTTTTGTCCGTCTGTCAGCTGTAAACTAACGCATGCTAAGTCTTCATTGTGTCTAGCGCCAGCCAACACCAACTCTTCCCTAACTAAATAAAGGAACTTACTCACATTTATAACTCTTTACCTTGGTATAATAATTTAGCTGCTTCTATCTCACTACGAAAATATGTAACTTTTGTTTATTACACATGAAAACAAGCAAAACTACATTTAGGAAAAGCAAAAGAAATGAACCATCCTAAAAGTAATTGCCAGTGGTAGGGTATTTAATTACTGTCTTTTAGTAAATTATATATATGGAGATATAATGCTCTAAATATATTTAAGATAAGTTCTGAAGTTTTATTTATAAAAATATGTTTCTTATTATTTCTTACTTGCCAAATTTCTCATTCTGTTGATCATGTATGTATTCTTAATGGAAACATGAGCTATATTCCAAAGGTAAACATGCTTAGCTGCTTAGAAGTGCTCAGAGAGATATCTGTGCTTGGTTCAGGCCTTGAGCCAACAGCTGAGTCACCATCAAACTAGAGACTTAGCCTCGTTTATGATTTTTTTTATATGAATTTCTCCACTCAGTCTTTTACTTAATGACCTACTTTTTAGGTACTGCTATGTGCTAAGTACACTATTGGTATGTTGAGTCTTATTTCTCTTACTCTTCACAATAATCGTTAAAATGGGATTTATTCTTATTTTACTGGTCAAATACCTGATTCTTAGATGCTAAAAGAATTACAAAGATAAGGGAGATATTGTCCTGACCTTTAAAAACCTTTATTCTAATAGAGAGTTCAAAAATTAAACGTGTACAAACACACATACATACACACACACACACACACACACACACACACACACGCACACACCACCTATAACAAGGTATTGTGTGAGTTATATAAAAGGCATAAAACCATAGTACACAGAATCATATCTTTCCTTAAATTTTGCACATCCAAAATTTAGCTCAGTCAAAGTAGATTATCTGAATGGTATTAGTCAGAGATATGTGCAATATACACCATGTGTATTTTTTTTTAATTCTTTTTTTCTTTATTGATGAAGGTATATGTGTGTCCTTACCCTCCCAGTGGTCCCTCCCCCAAACCCCCCACTCATGCCCTCACCCCCCTGGTGTCCGTGTCCATTGGTTAGGCTTATATGCATGCACACAAGTCCTTTGGTTGATCTCTCCTCTTTACCCCCCCTTCCCTACCTTCCCTCTGAGGCTGGCCTGTATGCACCCGTGGATCATAGCAGCACGTTCGAAAGCCGTGACTGCCTAACTAGAGTACGCATAGTCGGATCCTAACGACTGAAATTCAGAAGTCAAGTAAGCAGTTAGGACTTAGAAGGAATCGGAAAAGAGCCAGCAGGGAGACACGGGAGGCACGGGTTTCCAGGCGGTTTTGGATCTCAGGATAAAGTAGCAGAGAGGAAAATGAGAAACAGAGTGGCTGTGTCAGCCAAGAAGCGTCACGCATTTCCTGCTGAGACAGAACTCCTCACTGTGCGGTGGGAACTGAGGAATTCCCTCTGAGGTGGTGGGAAACAGATGGACCTGGCCAGATGGGGATGGTGAGGCCTGAGCACACACGAGGAATTAGTGGGGAAACTTGGTTTAATGTTTAAAATTTGCCTTTTAAGAATATTTTCTGAAACAAAACTATTGGATATATGTAGAAATAGTTACATTTTTATTGTAGCTCAGAGCAGCCTTAAAGTAATGCTATATTTGTTGTTGGGCATTTCTATCTAACAGCTCTTTTGATAAAGACATTCCTAGAACTGACACTAAGTCAGTGCTCAATTACTGTCTAATCATCAGCATCATCATTATCATCATTGTTTGTCATTTATGAAGCACTTGTTATATGTCAGATCTTTTTCTAAGCACTTTGCATACATCACCTTATTTAATCCTTGTAGCAAACCTAGGAGATGGGTATGATTGTTACTAATTATCTCTGACAAACAGGTTTTGCTCAGTGCAGCGTTTAAATCAGGCACTGATTAAAAAAAAAAAAAAAAAAAAAACTTGGCTAGGACAGAGAAAAAAATCACCTGGAAGTAACTAATTTTTTTAACAGATGCAAAATGGAATCATAGAAATAATTACCCCAATATCACATACCTAATAATTGTGTAGCCAGGATTCAGACCATTGATTCAGTGTCACCCCAGAGCAATTGCTCATAATGATTATAATATTACCCTTACCACCATCTAGAGTTAAACTTTAGGATTTTTCATTTGAATTTAGATGATATTATAATCCCATGAACAAAAGTAAAAGAAAAAATATAATACCAAAACTACTACAAAGAAAAAAGTGTCATACCAAAACTGCTTATCTAGCCAATGCTAAAATATTTTAAAAGCTATAATATCAGACAGCCTCTCTTTTTTATTATCAATAATAACAATAAGAACAATAAAGCCCACCAAATACAGAACAATATCCATTAAACAGTTTAATGTTTTGAAATTTTTTCTTAAAACATTCATTTATCATATAAATGAGATATCCAAAAATATATAAATAAAATGAAATATTTCCATTTATGTCTCAACTTGAGATCAAATTTACTGCTAATATATTTGATGAAACAAATACATACAGTGTCTGTGTGTTTGTGCGTGTGTGTGCACGTGTGCGCGCGTGTGCTAGTATAGTTAATGTTGACCCACCCATTGAAATGCTATTCTAGGCAATGGCTGACTATGGCCAAGGACATTTTCATTTAAAGTAAAATTTTTCAATATTTAGAAAAATTTTAAGGCTTTGTGAATGCTCTCTATGGTTAGAAAAATCTCTGTTGCAAAACTGACAGATACAGATATTTCATTCTATGTTTGAAGTGCATATAATTATAGAGAATATTAATTTATATCTATTAGCAGATATGCTCCTAACCCAGTAATAGCCATCAGGACAGTAATAATACTGACTGAATTTTTTTACATTATTTCAGATACCAGACATTACATTTGACCCTTGAACAACACTGTTTCGAACTGTTCAGGTCCACTGATACGCGGATTTTTTCAATAAATACAATAAAATGTATTTTTTTCTTCCTTAATAACATTCTATTTTCTCTAGCTCACTTTATTGCAAAAATATAGTATATAACACATTTAACATACAAAATATGTATTTATTGACTGTTTATGTAATCAATAAGGCTTTTAGTAGTTAAGTTTTTTGAAAAAGTCAAAAGTTGTATGATGATTTTCAATTGCTCGGAAGTCAGCTCTTCCAGCCTCCGTGTTGTTCAAGGATAGATTGTATTTCTGATTTTCAAAACAGCCCTGCAAAAAAGATATCCCTATCTATATATATATAAAAGGCTAAGCAACTGGCCTACCAGGGCTGAGAGGGGGCTGATGCTCAATACGGGAGCTGCCAGTGTGCGGTTCTCAGGTGACACACCCCAGAACCAGAGAGGAGGGAGCCCAATTCCCGGGTGCATCACCCTCTCACAATCTGGGATCCCTTGGGAGATGTCAGAGAGCTGGTTTCGGCCCAATCCCCGCAGACCAGTCCGAGGGACCCCGCTTGCCAGAGAGACCCTGCTCACTCCACCGATGTCCTTCGAGCCATAAGGCCGCCCCAGATCTGACTGGCCTGGGAGGGACCAAGGGAGGTTTGCTCCAGGGTATGTCCGGCCCATCTTGCCCAGTCCTGCCCGCCAGCCACCTAATTAACTTCCTTTCAATGTGCATGAAGTTGTGCACCGGGGCACTAGTTACTTTAAACAGAGTTTTAAAGGTTAAAGTATTTGCTCGATTTTACCCAATTAGTAAGAGGTGATCCTTACTCCCGGTTATCCAGACACCAGAGTCTACTATTTGTTTTTTTATATATCCTAGTGTCATTAACATAAAGCATTTATGATGACTTTTCATTTATCAGAGTATTTGAATACCCTGCACTCTGGCTGTGCCATATAACTGATTGTTTCATTCCAGGAAGATTGAACTATTGTAAATAATGATTTTTTTCCCCTAATATTCCTAGGATTCATCAAAATTCCAGTAATCTTTCAAACATTAAACTTTCTCTTTTTCTCTTGGTTTTTCTAGAAAAAGTTAGATTTTGTATTATCTCTAGGTTTTCAATGAAGCCTAACGGATTAAAGAGAAAATGGGTTTTCTATAGGTCACAGTGGCAACTTTACTATACCTTCTCCCCACCCCCAATTTTATTCAGAAATAAAAATATTATTTTCCCTGATATGAAGCCAAATGTTTGTATTTCCCAGATTTTACCTAAATGTCCTTCCCCGAGGTTGTGGAGAAACTATTTTAATGGCCCTCCTTGGGGTGTGGTGGAAATGCTGAAATTGCCTGTGCTGAAGAAACAAAAGTTTCACGCAAATTGAATTTTTCTTTTAGGATAATTGCCATTCACTTTTGTTTTTATGTGCAACTGAGTGGGGGTTCTGCAGTTATTCCCTGAGGACGACAAAGTGCTGAAATAGGAGAAGCTGGTAATTGCTCTGTGTGGCTGCGATACTGACACCTTGTGCGTGTTTGTCCATCTGTGTTAACAGTACCGATCAGGATGGGATCCTCATAGAGGGGCAGATAATATTTCCACTAAATCCTCGGACAGTGATGTAAGTGATATATCTGCGGTTTCCAGGACTAGTAGTGCTTCTCGTTTCAGCAGCACAAGCTACATGTCCGTCCAATCAGAACGGCCCAGAGGAAGCAAGAAAATCAGGTGAGTAAGGGGCTTTCGCAGGAAACAATCCTGAATGTATATGACAAGGTCTTTATGTTTCTTTGCATAGACGTAATAAGATCTCCTGAAGGCTAATGTGTGTCACTGGGCAATAAGAACCTCTGGACATATTATTATTATTTATTATATTTGGCTCTGCCTTTCAAAACTTTTTGCATAGGCAGATTCTATAGATGCATGACAACTTTCTTATTAGATTACTTGGAATAGTATTGTTAGTTGTTTTTTAATGTTTTCTATTTTAGACTAAATTCTATTACACATTTATTGACGTTAAAGTGACGGTTTTGTGAAAATTTGAATATTTTAATGTTCTAAGAAATGTGAAAAGTAATATTTGAAAGGTTTTTCCCCCAGTCGATTATATTTCAGGGATTCAGAAAAATATTACTTTTTTTTTTTTAATGGGATACTCCTTATGCTCCTGAAACTGTTATAAGTGCACGGGAAAAGTCCTCAGCCTCTCAAAATTTATAAATGCGATATGTATGTTCATATTTGCATACCCATCGAGTTTGTGGGCACCTGAGCTAAATTATTTTTACTCCTCTATATAAAAAGAAAAAAAATCAATAATGAGGAGACGAACTTTTTCCCATGCAACTCTGTAACAGGAAAATGGGATCTGAAGAACAGTTGTTATTGCGGTGCGTACACACACACTTCTCTGGTCTACTGGGGGGGGGAAAGTTTCACCATGTAGGAGATGTCATTGTTACTTATGTTTTCATAGTGTTCATTTCCTTTCCGTTTAATTGTGTGTGCATTTTTTCTTACCTTTTCTTTCCTTTTCTGTGTTTATTTGCATGCCTTCCTTCCATCTGGGTTGCTTTCAAAGGCCAAAGGGAGTAGAAGAGGGGGGGAAAGAAGGGGATAAGCATGAAGAGGTAGTTCATGGCGAAAAGGAAGAAGGAATTAATGAGCATGTGAAAGGGAAAGAGATTACAAAAACGTCTAATAATGCGAAAACCAGAGAATCAGGAGACGAGGAAAACACACCAGATACACATGAGCAAGGGAAAGAGAAAGATCAGAGGAATAAAGAGGATTTGCAGAGGCGAGTCTCACAAGAGGATGACAGGTAAAATACACTCGTTTTTGTAGACATTTCCCATTAGTAATGCAGTCCTTTCTCCTACCTAGGAAGACGATTTTGCCCTTTACATGTGGTTTGTTTCCTTGTGTTTTATCTATTTATATTCTAATACAACTAATTGAGATGTTGGTAAAAATTGTATACCCAAATCAAACAGATTTCTCAAATAGTCTTTCATTTGTATCCACTGGGTCTGAGAGTCTGGCTCATTGGTTTTCAAGTTCTTTAGGATGAGCTGGATCAAACTTAAATTTCTCTTTAGTTTTTTTATTTTATTTATTTTGTTTTGTTTTTGGGGGGTGGGGATGGGGGTGGGGGTTCATCATGAATTTCCTGTAATCTTTCTCATCTGTGGAGTCAAAACCTTTGAGTAGAAGATATGAAAGGCCTGACATCTTTTAGCCTACTTTATAAGAAATATTACATACCGAAAATGATTTTCTTAAAGGAGTAGAAAAATAGCGACAGGTAAGCTTTGTTCAGTCTCTGGCTCCTTGCCTCAGTTTCCTGGTGGGTTCTGGGTCAAATCTGAGTCCCGAGGAAGATTGCAGAGCAGAACAGCTGGAAAGGGAGGGCAGGCGCCCCAGGAGTCATTGGGAGGCCCCTGGGTGAGGCCGCTCTCGAAATTCATTCCGGCAGAGAAACCGCCAGAGGAGGAGATTCGATCAGGGGGCAGAGGCAGGGGGAAACACAAGCAGCAAGGCATAAAGCCAACCGCGCTTTCCTTTTCTTAACGTGAGGCACTCAGCGCGAAGCTGTCTCTGCAGGGAAAATGAGGTCGGCACCAGTGAGAGAGAGACCTCAGCCTGCAGCCTGGGGAGGAGATTTCTCTATTTTCTCCAAGTACATTGATCTGAGACAGGATCGCAAGTCATGTCCCTTTTGGAGGCATTGGGGATTCTGGCATTCAGTCCACAATTTGATTTTGTACAGAGTCTGCTTGATAAGGACACCCTATTGTAAGCCAGTTTTTTGGTTTTTTGTTTTTTGGGGGTTTTTTTGCAATTAATATATCTGAGCCCAGTCTCAGTTTGTGCTTTACTTACAATTAATGAGAAAGGTAATCGGGACAGATGTTTACCCCTTGTGTAGACAATTCTGTCGTTTGTCTGTGATCCTTTTTTGTCTCAGCTTGGTATATTGAATTATACCTGCTCTATAAGAGTTTCTGTATCACAGACATTAACCTGATAATGAATATTAATCAAGCAATTTTGTGATTTGAGTCTAAGCTATTTATTTCAGTTTGTCTTTTATCTAACTTTGATAACTACCTTAGTTTGGTACTAAAGACCATTTTTCTGATTCAGTGGGCCTGAATTTCACCATGAATTCACAGAGAAAAAAGCTTTCCCGTTTTTCCCTTGGAAAGAGAGAGAGTTGTCTTTCTTCCAAAAGCAGAGCAGCATGAGTCTGTGCTGTGTTTTCTTCAGTGTGTGCTGTGTAAATGCAAACACACCGGGCCATGGATGTTTGCCTCCAGCCCAAAGACCCTTCGGGCACACCTGGCGTGGACAGAGGCTCAGAGAAGATTTAACCTTCAGTTCCCCATTTTCAATATGATTTTCTTCATCATGTTCTTCAGCAAGGGAGCACAGTATTGTGCAGGGAAAAGGGAGAGACGGTGGTGCATGCCTAGCGATTCGAGCCATTAGGCGCAGTATTCAGCGTCGGTCACTACAGGATGTTTCTGGAGACTGGAGGAGGCCAGGCTGGCCTCTCCCGGGACACATGCCCCATAAGGCAGCAAGAATGCCCCCTGCCATTGTTCTAAGAAAATGGCGGTGCCACTAACGAGTGATGGCAACGCAGGGGCTTGCATTTGCTTTCCTTTCTTAGAATAAAACTGACCATCTTTAGTCTGAGAGGAAGTAGGTTTGAGTGCTCCCAGTGTCATTTTGTTTCAGTAGTTAATAAAAACGATCGTACATCGTTTCAGCACTGACAACCACGTATGTGCTTACACATTATTGGAATATAATCATATCCATAACACACCATGGACGTTTTATGCCTTTTACTTGTAATCCATGTTTTTATAAACGAATTTTTTTTCTGACTTTAAAGTTAAAGTGTTTTTAGTACTGTTACTACTTAAAGTTGACATAGTGACTTCAGTGAACAAAATTGATTATAGTTGCTATTTTCATTATAGCATCCAGATCTCATTGCATTGACCACAATTATGTTTTTGTGTTACAATAAGTTAACATATATCATCTGAATGTACATGTGGGAAATGAAGAGCAAAAAAAAAAGGTTCAGAAAAGTTCATTAAATACTTGAATATAACATTTTTTCTAAGTTGATAATAATAAATTCATATTTAGCTATTTGTAATTATACACTTATATATAAATAGGTCTAGTAAAATGCCTCTAAATCATTCATGATGATCTGGTGAACTCTAGAAAATATGAAATTATATTTGCCACTTAAAATATTTTTCTCACTCTCTGTACATCTGTATTTTAAATTTTATATCTGTTCACATTTGCTGATTATATACCAAATATATGTGGTAAATCTGGCCACAAAATAAGGTAAGACATAGGGAACAATTATTCATTCAACCAATGTTTATTTAGAAAATTTCTTCAGGCACAGAACTTGAAATTGGAAATGAAAATGAAACATCATCATACTTTTAACCCTGAAAGGAAGCAGTCTCTGAGGCTTGGTGGGTGGCTGTGTAAGGGTAGCTACGTATCCAAAAAATGGATCATGATACCTGAACAAACTCATAAGGACACTTGACAAAAGATCTTAAATTTGCAATGAAAGGTAGAAAAAACAAATACTGAAAAGTATAGCATTGTCAAACCCAACAACGTTGGTAGATTTGTCATTAAACTAGATTCTTATTCATTCTTCCAGACATAAGACAAAAGAAAAAAATTTAAGAAACTCAATCTCTATACATTTTAGTTCTAAGGCATTTCTGCTTCAGTTTTGTTGATTGTGATGGGCCTGTTCAGATTTTCTATTTCTTCCTGACTCAGTCATGAGAGTTAACCGTTTGTTTCTTTCAGATTTCCCAATTTGTAGCCATATCATTGTTTTCTATAGTATTTTCTGTGGTGTCAGTAGTTACTTATCCTTTTTCCATTTCTGACTTTATTTATTTGGGTCCTCCCTGTCTCCCCCTACCCTGAGCCCATCTCCCTTGCCAAGGGTAAACATTTTATTTTTGAGGAACTTCATGCTGCACATTTTCAGAGTCACATAAGAAAGCAAAAATGGCCGAAACCAGTTTGGCTCAGTGGATAGAGCATCGGTCTGCGGACTGAAAGGTCCCGGGTTCGATTCCAGTCAAGAGCATGTACCTTGGTTGCGGGCACATCCCCGGTAGGGGGTGTGCAAGAGGCAGCTGGTCGATGTTACTCTCTCATCGACGTTTCTAGCTCTCTATCTCTCTCCCTTTCTCTCTGTAAAAAATCAATAAAATATATATTAAAAAAAAAAAAAAAAAAAAAAAGCAAAAATGGCCGAGACCGGTTTGGCTCAATGGATAGAGCGTCGGCTTGGGGACTGGAGGGTCCCGGGTTCGATTCCAGCCAAGGGCACATACCTTGGTTGCGGGCATGTCCCCAGTAGGGGGTATGCAAGAGGCAGCTGATCGATGACTCTCTCATCGATGTTTCTGACTCTCTATCTCTTTCCCTTCCTCTCTGTACAAAATCAATAAAATATATTTTAAAAAAAAAAAAAAAAAAAGAAAGCAAAAATGTTATCCTCCCCTCATCTAGAAATAAATAAGAAGAGCATAACATTCCTTTTAAAATCACACTTGGAAGTTTAGCACCAGCATCCAAAATGAACTAGAAAAGGGGGGAGGGGGGACACTTACTATATATTTCAGATTTCTTTGGTTGGGGTTCTC